ATCACCAAAAATAATTAAGCATCTCCCAAATACAACAGAATAAGGACATAAAATAAGCAGGGGAGTTTTGGTTGCAATTTATTTCCTTCTCATATTCTGTAATGGTATTTAAATTTTAGAGGTGACATAATAATCTCCTATATTTATGGCCATACAGAAAAAGCTAATTTGAAAATCCATATACTAATTTACATCGCCTACAAGAAGAGTCTAATGGAATGTAGTCAGTTTTGAACAAATCTAGGAATTAGTGCTTTTTCTGGCCAAAATAAAATATTTTTACACTTTTTCTATTATTTTTTTAACCAAGTATGGATTTATGTATTAGCAAGTGAAATAAATAGATTCCTAAGACTGCATTTTGATGCATTCTTCTGGGATGACTGCATGTAATTAAAGTTAGTAAGTTATGCAAATGTATGAGCCCAAGTAAATTGAGTTGCTTAATGCAACCTCGTTTGAATGCATAACTCAAAAATGGGAACCTCTCATTCTTCCAATGTTGGATCCTACCATTGCTCACCAGTGCAGAAGCTGCAGTGAAATAAATTATTTGTTTTATTTAATAATCAAACCTACATCTTCCTACAATCTTGAGTAGGCTCTGGGCAGTTCACAAGATGAAACACAATATAAACACAACCACACATAACAATAGTAATATTATTTTTTTAAAAACACACAAAAATGTACAATGCAAACTATTAACCTCTCTCTGGAAAAGTATCATTCTTAGCTGCTTTTGGAAGTATTCAGAAAAAATAATAACAGTTGGAAAGGACATTAGAGGTCTTCTATTCCAACACCCCCCCCCATACCATTTCCATTCTCCAAAGCACCTGAGGGCAAGAAAAGAAGCAATGGATGGAAACTGAAGGAAGAGAGAAGCAACCTAGAACTAAGGAGAAACTTCCTGACAGTGAGGACAATCAACCAGTGGAACTACTTGCCACCAGAAGTTGTGAATGCTCCAACACTGGAGGCTTTTAAGAAGAGATTGGACAGCCACTTGGCTGAAATGGTACAAGATTTCCTGCTTAAGCAGGGGGTTGGACTAGAAGACCTCCAAGGTCCCTTCCAACTCTGTTATTTCAGACAAATAGCTGTCCAGTCTCTTCTTAAAAATCTCCAACTTTTTCAGGCATGTCGTTCCACAGATTGATTGTTCTCATTATCAGGAAATTCCTCCTACCTTTATTATTTTTATAAATAACTCAGAGCAACTGAAAACAGAAGAAGAATATGTCCTTTTAGTATTAATATCTTATTCTCCCCCCCTCCCCCAAAAAAACTGTTGCAAAAAAATACAGTTGTAATGACCCTACAAACAATCATGCCAACTAAAAATCAAGCAAGATCTGTTTAATTTGTGCATATTTGAAACTTCCATTTTATATTTTAAATTTTATATCCCGTCGTATGCCTTATTTTAATTGTGATGCTTCTGATACGAATAAGCAAACAAACTAAAAATAAGTAAGCTTATACTATTAAAAACAAAATCAATTTACTTCTATGTTTGGCAATCATTAATGTGTATTTCAGAAAGAACCCCTTGTAAGCTAATACAGATCAAAAGTAAGAGAATAAAATAAGAAGGAAAGATCTTTCTGGAAGCTTTAGAGTAACTTTCAACTTGTGTTTTGTTGGGTGGGTTTTCTTATTCATGTCTAAGTTAAATTGAGAAGTGAAACCTTAAGTGATAGATAAATGATAGATAAAATTATTCAGAAACTAATTAATGATATTTTAGGAAACCACAATCCTCAGGAGACTTTGTTTTGCTCCATTATATCTTTCCACTCTTTCTTCCATGTTCTCTCTTTTGTTATTTTCTTCAAAGCAGTCAATAAATGAAAATGGAAATAAATATGCATTTTTAAAAAAGGATATCAGCTCCTTGATCTACTGTAAATTGAGAAGAACTGTAATCCTTATCTAGATGTAAATAAATATTATACAGTTTACGCCTTGAAAGCTAATGAAAATATGTTTTCGGGGAAACTTTTGTAGTTAATTTAAACACCCCAGTTTGTATGAAATTATTTGTCTACAAAAGTTAACTTTCTGGCTTTTAAAGTATGTTGTCATCAGGGCTAAGTTTTAGATAAGTAGATGTTAGTTAGATGAAGGTGGCCACTTCATTCTCAGATCTCTGTCTCTCTGTCTGAGTCTCTCTCTCTCTCTCTCTCTTTCTCTCTCTCTCTCTGTCTCTCTCTCTCTCTGTTTCTCTGTCTCTGTCTCTCTATCTCTCTGTCTTTCTCTCTCTGTCTCTCTCTGTCTCTCTCTCTGTCTTTCTCTCTCTGGCTCTGGCTCTCTCTGTGTCTCTCTCTCTGTGTGTGTTTCTGTCTCTCTCTGTTTCTCTTTGTCTTTCTCTCTGTGTCTCTGTGTCTCTCTGGGTCTCAGTCTCTGTCTCTCTCTTTCTCTGTCTCTCTCTGTGTCTGTCTCTCTGTCTCTCTGTCTCTCTCTCTCTGTCTGTCTGTCTCTCTCTCTCTCTCTCTCTCTCTGTCTCTCTCTCTCTCTGTTTCTCTGTCTCTGTCTGTCTCTCTCTCTGTCTGTCTCTCTCTGTCTCTCTCTCTGTCTTTCTCTCTCTGGCTCTGGCTCTCTCTGTGTCTCTCTCTCTGTGTGTGTTTCTGTCTCTCTCTGTTTCTCTTTGTCTTTCTCTCTGTGTCTCTGTGTGTCTCTCTGTCTCAGTCTCTGTCTCTCTCTTTCTCTGTCTCTCTGTGTGTCTCTCTCTCTGTCTCTCTGTCTCTCTCTCTCTCTCTGTCTGTCTCTCTCTCTCTCTCTCTCTCTCTCTCTGTCTTTCTCTGTCTCTTTCTCTCTCTCTCTCTCTCTCTCTCTCTGGCTCTGGCTCTCTCTGTGTGTGTCTCTCTCTCTCTGTGTCTGTGTCTCTGTTTTTCTCTGTCTTTCTCTCTGTGTCTCTGTGTCTCTCTCTGTCTCTCTCTCTCTCTCTCTCTCTCTCTCTGTGTGTGTGTGTGTGTGTCTCTCTCTGTCTCTGTCTCTCTGTCTCTCTCTCTGTCTTTCTCTGTGTGTGTCTCTCTCTGTGTGTCTCTCTCTCTCTGTGTCTCTGTCTCTCTGTTTCTCTCTGTCTTTCTCTCTGTCTCTCTCTCTCTCTCTGTCTCTCTGTCTGTCTCTCTCTCTCTGTGTGTGTGTGTGTCTCTCTGTCTTTCTCTCTGTGTCTCTCTGTCTCTGTCTCTCTGTGTGTGTGTCTGTGTGTCTCTGTCTCTTTCTCCCTCTCCCCCCTCTTTCTTAATTTATATTTACTGAACTTTTTCATATAATAGTAACAAACCAAAGCAGGGGGGAGTCATAAAATCAAAAGAAAAGAAGCTTATAAATGGCTTTTGACCTTCTTCTCAATAGATAATTACAATTTTATTGTCTTCTTCCATCTTAAATAATTTATAGGCTTCCTTCACCCCCACCTCATCTTTCTGAGTCTTCACATCCATAAATCATTGGTTCATTTTTTTCTTCTTTCAGCAATAAGTCCATCTAAGATTTCCAGCCTTTTTTTTAAAAAAAATGTGGTTTTTGTTGTCTCTGACCAAACAGATCAATTTTTCCATTTCTATTATTTCACAACCCATTCCTCTATTTTAGGAATTTCTCTATTTCCATCCTTATGCATAAAAACATCTTGCAAATTGCGACTATGCACGGTGTCAATTTAACATGATTCCCCTCCCCCCAATTCATTATCTATAAATGCCAATAAAAAGAGTTCTGGTTTCTTTGTAACATTAATAATTTAAAAAATGTTGTGTCATTATATGACTGTCTACCCAGAATTTTTCAGTTTTCTCACAATTTTACCATGCCTGATAAAATATCTCCTCATACTTTTCGCATTTCCTCCACTAGTTTGAAATACTTTTATACATTTTTGATAATTTTCCTGGTGTCATATACCAACAGTACATCATGTTATAGAAGTTTTCTCTTGAATTATAACAGAGTGTAAATTTAATCCCAGTTACTCATATTCTTGACCTCAAGGAGCAAAGTATTTGGATTTACCTACTGTTTGGAAAGTTGAAGAAAGTTGACAGGTTTCAAGCAATTGCATAGAAACAGAAACCAAATACTACTCCCTTCTAGCACTGATGATGTTATTGAGTTGGATAAGCTCAGAGAGCACCAAGGACCCCAAAGTTCAACCCTGAGCTCCAATTATTCTCTCCTACTATTGAAATTTGATAGACATTAGATAATTTCCTGTAACATGCTTTCTGTAAAAAGACTCTGCTATCAAATTGCATTTTCCTGAAAATGGTTGTATGTATGAAATGAAGTAAAATGTTGTCTCCAGTGACTGCACAAGCCTTAATGACCCTTCATCTTTACTGTTAGAAAATTCTGTTTATATATAGCACCACAGAGCAAAAAAGAGTACAGTCACCATGTGCTTTACTGCTCAACTGTTTAACTGTAACAAGAAACAGGAAACTTAGAACAAAGGGTTATATGTCATAGATCCAAACTTGTAACACTGCCATCTACTGGCTGAATATTACTGTAATAGTTGAAGAGAAATACATTCCAACATGAATTCCAATATTTACTGTATACAGGCTCATATTTTATAGTTTAGAATATTTATCAAAATTAGAAATGAGGTATATAGTCCATAGATTATGAAGTCAAAGTTTAGCTCATCATAAACCAACTTCTACATTGACTTCTAAAACCCCTAACTCAAGTTTCTGTTATTACAGTTGCAGAAATCAAGATAGCAACTTCATAAAACTATAGAAAATTTAATTTAGACATATAAAATGGTCTGTCACTTTTTTCAGTGTCATCATAACTTCAAAGGAATTGTTGTAACTTGAAGACAATCTGTATATGCTTACAATAGTGAAACCATGGTGAGATGAACTGTGGCTGTGAAACCCTGCTTTAAATGGTGTTTTAATGGTGTTTTTATGTATACATCAATCCAGTGAAGATGTAAATTCTTCACTGTCGTTCTATCTCTGTCATGTTTCTCCTTTCAGCCTCTCCCTGGGTGGACAAGAGTCGATCCCAGAACAAGATTGATCTGTATGATGTCCGTAGAAGACCGTGGTAAGTCTCACTTGCGTGTTTGTGGAACTCATCTTATCATCATTTCCCTTCAATCAAAGGAATCTCAGCAGCTTCACTTTTTAAAATACAGATTTAAAATTTGGATAGATGAATAGAGATAGAGAGATAGAAAGATGGATAGAGAATTAATTGACACCTAGATAAATTGATAGATATTGATGCAGAAGGAGGAAGAGGGGGGAGAAGGAGAACGAAGGAGGAGGAGGAGGAGATTTAAAATATTGGAGGATAGATGGAGAGAGAGAGAGAGAGAGGGAGAGAGAGAGAGAGAGAGAGAGAGAGAGAGAGAGATGAATAGAGAAATAATTGATATCTAGATAAATCAATAAGATATTGATGCAGAAGGGGAGGAGGAAGAGGAGGAGGAGGAGGAAGAAGAAGGAAGAAGGAAGAAGGAAGAAGGAAGAAGGAAGAAGGAAGA